TGTCTAGAGTTTTTTTCTATCTGGGTTCACTTTTCTGACATTTGTGACCTTTCTGGAGGGAGTAAGAATTCTGATGAGTCAGAGGAGGGATTTCTGTATGCACACTTAACTTTTAGTGGATAACACTATTAAATAACTGCACCCTTTTTATCTATTGAGGTACTACAACATCAGAAATTCCAGTGGGAATTGAAGGGATCTCTGAATTTTTGCTGATACTTTATGCATTCAATACAGTATTATTTTAATAGGATACAAAAATTCATTAAGGCTATGCTGGCAGACACATACCTGTGATTTGAGACTGAAAATCCTGTGATGAGTGGGCTAAACTACAGACAGGCTGTCCAGCACATACCCTCTGCTGGCCTACAAGAGATTGCAAAGCCCTTCTCAGTCAACACAGAACTAGTACTCCAGTGACCATAGAGCTCCCTCTTGTGGAACGAGGAGCCAGTCGGCTTAGTCTTAAAAGCTCCTGAGACGTCACTTTATGAACTGTTTCTTCAGCATGATCCCGCACGAGAGAATCAGAGGTTTTGTAAGGGGAAAAAAAAAAGAAAAAGAAAAAAAAAAAAAAGAAAAAAAAAAAAAAAGGAAAAAAAATAGGACATAAGCAGACTTTTTTTTAAAGATAAATAAAACATGATTTCTGATTGATGTGTGGCTGAAACTAAGAAACCATATTTTTGTAGCACAAAGCAGCACTCTGGTAGAGTTTGACAAGGCTGGTACGTCTCAAGAAGTCCCATCCAGTCTAAATCATTCTATGAACCCAGAAAAATGGGAACTATCCTTAGAATTCAGAGAATGGCAGTTTCTCGCTGTGAGAACAACCTTCTGGCCAAAAATACAAGAAACCGATCAACCATCTCTACTACCAAATGCACATTCTGCTAGAACTTCAACTTGTCAAACACTTCATTTTAACTCACATGCTCAGAGGATGTGATAGAGAGGAGTTATAGCATTCACTCACCAGTATGTTATATTGTACTCCCTAGAACAACCTCTAACTATTGATGAAAACCTGAAAAAACACAGAGGGGGCAGATTTATTCACAAAGAATGGACTCCGGTTGTACCACAACGAGGCAAGCATGAGCTGGGAACCAACAGAATTCAGAAAGATCTGAATCACATGACCTCTAAGAATATAAATAATAAAATCCTAAGTGTCAAATAATCACTCAAAAGGCAGTAATAACATCATTAAAAATTAAAAGAAAAGGCTTTTATAGTAAGAAATGAACTTTGCCTGTCAGGTGACTGTTTCTTAAATGGCTTTTGATCCACTACTAGTTGTTTTGCTGAAAAAGATATGCGTACTTATTTAAGCAGGAACTCATTAACACATTAGCTTCTACTTATTAAGACAAGAAACAGCATAACTTTAGTACTTCTTTGGGGAAATTTATTATTACAGTTGCTGTTTAAATTTGCTTCAGACTGCCTCTGAATTTCACTTCTCCAATTTCTCGCCTGCAAATTCCACAAGGAAGCTGGCACTGCAACTGTTGCCATGATCGCTATAAGGACTTCAACTGGTATAAAAATCATGGTTTAGCATATGTTTAGAGTTAATACAGTTGTTCCAACACTGTTTTCCACAATATTAAGGCTTCTTCAAAGCCAATTAAGTTGCTGATAGAATGGATTAACATACATAGATAAAACATAGACCAGAGAGAAACATTTAAGAACTTGCAAATTTACATTTATTTTCCACCAAAGTTAGTTTCCTTTGTTCTTTCCTAAGCAATTCATTATTTGCAATATGATCCAAGATTAATTTTAGATGATCAGTTATGAATACTAAGTTCTTTGCAGGGGAATTCTCAGTGGGGCTAAAAAACACTCCCCAAAACCAACAAACCAAAGAAAAAAAGCAAAAAATAGCCCCACCAACCAAAAAAAACCCCAGTCTCAAAGTATCCACCATAGAATAGATGGAGTCAGACCATTGTCAAGTGACAGTTAATGACTGAGTACTACATTTATATGTGAAGTTTCTGGAGCTCCAGAAGATACAAACCAGTAATGACATCAAGCAATGTACTGAATCACTAGAAAAAACTGTCCCAGTTGATTTTCCAAGCAACATGATTACATTGTTGAAGAGATTGCATCTCTGTGATTTTGTACAATAATTGAGCTCAGCAATGAAATAAACACTTAGGAGATATATTTTTTTGAGGGGGGACGGGACGGGATGGGAGTGGAATCCTGATCTTTTCGTAGATTTGTTATGAGTCATTTTGCAGCTGCTAACACCAATATGTCTGCAGAGAAACCTAGCACCTAGCCTAGACAACATGATTTGCTGCAGTAGAGTGAACCATCTTTTCTACTCTCATTCAAACTCAGTAAACATGAAGACCATGGCTATGCTGCCCACTCCGTGCAGCACATGGTACAAGTGGAGTGTATATTCGTCATCCTTGTGAAACAGATTTGAGAGATGAACAAATACATAGAACATCATAAGGTCAAAATATTACACATTTGGATAAATAACTCCCTACCTACCCACACATATTCATTTTCTCCACCAAATGCTACATTTGCATCTTTGCCAACAGAATCAGTACAATTGCCAAAGTGAAGATTGTCCGATAAAAAAAAAGACACAGAGTTCCTAGATGTCTATTCATCATATTCTATGAAGCTGCTCTAACTTATGTCATAAGAAAATAAAAGTAATAAAAAGGGTGTTTTAGTGGTCTTTTCTCTACTTTTTCCTATTTCTTATCAAACAGTTTGGGGCAGGGGGAATGGCAGGGAATCTAGAATATTTGCAGTTTGATACATAGATTTATTAAGAAATGGGGGTTTTTTTTCTCAGCAGCTCAAATCTGAAAGATCCTGTTACAATCAGTTTTCCAGATACTGTTTTTTTCTGTAATGACTGAATGAGTATCTTAAGAAACTGTAACTTGTAACTGTCCATAGGTTTTCTTCTTTCTCTCCATTTAAAATAATTGCAGTATGAAATTTAGAGCATTATAGAAGATGTTCTACGTTGGTTTTTTTTTATGCCAGCATAGCACGTAATGTTGGATTTGAATCTTAGAAGTATGGAGTTATAAGCTGCTGATAGATTTGTTAGAGAAGCAGTCTTTCTGTTGTCCCACTTTGATTGCATTGGTAATTCTTTCATTTGAGTGCTTAGAGTAGTTTTGAAGGACCATAAATTTGTATGGTTTAGTGCAAGCAAAAGATTTAGAGCATCTCATTTATCTTCAGAGAAATATCACTAACTAGATACTCAGAACTGAATATTAAAATTCAGTGAGGTACTGGAAAAATTAGAGGGAAATAAAATGAGTGTATTTCCCTTTCATTTTTTTTGTACTTTTGCAGTTTAAACCTAATTATCATACTCAATCATACTAATACAATTTCACAAATACTGACCAAATATTTGCTATAGTAATTTCTGGCAACATTATTTGTCATTCAAATTTCTGGCAATGTCATTTGTCAGCAGGAATGACTTTTAAAACAGGGATATCTTTTGGCATCAGTCATTGTTGCCCAAAGAACAGAAGAAGAGCATTGCAAAGGTGCTTTACTTCGATGAAATTCAGTGGTACCCAGAGCTAATCTCTCCCCATTAAACAACGATAGTAGTTTCTAAAGAACTAATTGCACAAGGTTATGTCAAAAGATATTTGAAAAGGCAAAACTGGGGCAACGGTTTTTTGATCCAGCCAGCACACCAAGTCACAGCAACAACATGTCCAGAGAGCTGGTTCTACCATAAGCATTCAGTAATGACACCTTCATATGGCAAGTACCTTAGAGCTTAACAAGCATGTGTCTGCTTTGGAGAACTCCATCTTTTCCCATCCCCCACATGCTCACAAGTCTTTTCACAAAATAGCAAAATTATTTCTCTGCCATTACTACTTTTATTAAGCAGTGGATCAAATTGCTGCTACCATCTAGTGATCAAATTATCTTATCCAGTAAAAGCAGATAGAGTGACTAAGAGTTTAGTAGCAGTATCGAATCTAACCTTATCACCTCAGAGTTTCTACACAGACAGGGATGAACAAGTTCATGACTGAGACTGCAGGTGGTTCCAGAATCATGTTACATTACTACAAACAAAAAAATGCAGTTAGAATAAAATGAAAAAATTACTCTTAGCAACAAAGTAGAACTGCAGTGTAGACAATATTCATGAAGATCAATCCAGAGAAGGATTCTCTTTGGAAGACAGAAAAATTAGATTTCATGTATTCCATGTCATGCACCTATGTGACCATTCTTTCTTATTCAAGAGAGTGGAAAATAGCATTCTTATCTGGTAACATTTAAAAAATATTAGACAGCTAGGATAAAACAACAAAGTTCCTACCTGGACTTCTCCTAGACTTGGAAATATTTAAATACTGGGCTCTGGTTCTCAAGTGGAAAATGAAAAATAATACAGATTTTTCCTGGATGGGGAAACCACAGTGGAAACTATGCATTTGTGTACTTCCATACCTGTTATGTAAAAAGATTTCTTTTGGAACAGTTTTAAAATATTTGGAATCCATAAAAGCAAGTCAGAGTTATTTTATACCATTATCTTAAAAGGCAGAAACATATGGATAGCACCTTTTATTCTGAACTGCCATTTGTTTTCTGCTCCTATGAGAACGCAACTTCACTTTCTAAGACTTCTAGAGAATGATGAAAGAACAACACATGAAAATTACATAACTTTTGACTACAAGTGTTTCTGGCAGACAGGTGAGCACATGGCACTGGCAATGCCTTCTTACATTAAGACAAGGATGTTATGTTTCCACTACACAGAGAAAGGTTTATGTAACAGTTGTACCATCCTGCACAAGTAAGCAAGGGAACTCACAAAAAGAAAGTTTGGATAAATTTTTCCTCCCTCATTTCCAAAAATAAAACTTTCTGGTTTGAGAGCTTTTATTGTTGCAGGTGCTCTATGTTGGACTAGAGCGAAGCATGGCACTTGCAGAAACTGTTGACAGTTAGCAGCAACCCAGGCTGACTTGAGTTTTGCCTTCTGGGATTTCCATCATGTTCTTTTCCATTTCTGTAAAAACAAAAAAGTTATAAAATCCATTCACAAGAAATTATACCATCCAATACTAAGGATAACAAAAGCTGAATGTAGCCCCAGCCACTCCTATATGCTAGAACTCAGATATACAATGACATGAATATGCTTGCAGGTGTCTGAAACAGGCTTTATTGCTTGAAAAACGTCCTCAATCCTTCAGACTGTAAACAAGGAAAATACATGCAAAACCCAAAACTTAACATACTGATGAGGTTTCCTGCCCCAATTTGGGCCGTATGTCCAGCAGTTTTCTCCAGTTCCTTTATCATGGACTGTTCAAAGGCCAAGGCAGCAACTCGGGAAAAGAACTCTTTGACATTTTCCCCTAGGAAACAGGACAGAAATTATGTGGTTTTACAACTGCACATCAACACACTATCAAGCATAACAAGCACATTTGTGAACAGATCACGCTCCATACTGGGACAGAACAGGCCTCTCCAACAATCTGTCCTCCATTCTGATCACTGCAGAGATGATTTCTCATTTTCTTACTCTGGAACACTGTACCCTGTACTGTACCTTTATTTTTAGTCAGCCACAGAAAGAATTCAGTGTGTGGTATAATCTTTTGTTCATTGCTAATGTTGAGTAGCAATGCACATGTGTATTTATGTAACTACCTATGAATTAAACATGCACAGCAGCTCAAGTACTCCTTTCTGTAAACATGACAGTGCAAGCACACATACAAATACTCAAATACAATCAACCATTAATAAACCTGAAGTTTCCAATAGCAACAAAATGCAGGAACAACCAAAAAACCTGCATGGGAATGGGGGGATAAGGAACTTCAACTTCCTCCCACCTTAACATAAGCCTTTGTGGTTGCACTGTTTTTACATCCTTTGCAGTAACTTACCTGTTTTAGCTGAAACAGACCAATATTCTGCTTGCATCTCATTGGCAAAGCGGATGGCATCTAGCTCTGTCCTTTCACACACAGCATCTGACTGAGTAAATAATATGGAATAACTTTAACATAAGAAGTGTATATGGGCTGGTAATAACATAGAGGTACTGCTAACACCTCTACTGTGATGCTTCCAGTTTTCACAGTGGCCTTTCTGGCCTTGCCTTAGAACTTGTGCAATCAGACATGATTGCAAGAATGAACATTCAAGTACTTAGTACTGCTTTTAAAATGGAAGTCTCCACTCACCTCCCACAGCATTGAAACAAACAACACTTAACAAGTGTGACTGTTGTATCTAACTGTATAGTGTGGTAGGGAGCTATAAAGACAACAGCCCAGATACTAGTCTTTAAATTCTTGTCATCCCACCATTCTCAGCAGAAGACTTGCAGGACCAACTAATCACAATGGTTCTTTGGGTTTAATCTTGTCTCTGTCTCAGATCCTTTTTTCTACTCCATCTGTTTTTACTATGTTGTAACACAACTGCCTTCCCCCCTTTTTATTTTTGCTCTTTTTTTAATCTCTTCTTAAGACTAAAATTTCTTGCCCCTCCAATGGATTTTTCTTTCTTGCACTTACTTTTCAGGTATATTTCCCCTCTCATTTGTTCTCTGTGATCAACCATACCAGTATGTTGCTATTTGCTTTCAATTTCTAGCCCATTTATGATGGACGATACAAGTCATCTTTGTTTGTACAGTTTTCTGTGCATTGTCTTACAATGGGGAACCTCTGCACAATTGAGAAGAATTCTAAAAATTTGGAAAGGATGATGTGACATCAAGATGAGAAGTACAGTGAATCCAGTTGGGAAGATACTGGTTTCATACTGAAGTAATACCTAGAACCCACAATCCTTTGCTCTGCTCTTGTCTCCCTTTCAGTTGTTTCTAAAAACAGAAACCAATTTACAGTAACAAATTCTAGCTTAGACAAGACTTGAGATCTGCGTCCTCAGAGGTCTGGCACATTTAGCTTTTACTGCAACTCAGAAAAAGCAGCATAAGCAACACAAAGTACCAGAAAAACTGACAGACATGCAGTTTTCTGGGACTTATTTTCAGTGAAGGGTAAGAAACAAACTGCATAAGTGATACTGTGGCAGCTGGCGGGGGGTGGGAAATTAAAAAAAATAATAATCAACTAAACAGCAGAAGCAGCAAGTTTGTTTTGAAATCCTTAAGAATTAAGTATTGATAGCTAGAGAAAGACAAACACAAGACTCAGAATGGTGTACGGTGAGTGCATTATATCCTGTTCTTCTGAAAAAGATGTCACATTCAATTAAGTAAGAATTCTTCCCTGTTCCTGCATAATGAACACACTGTCCTAAACAAAACTAACAAACAAAACCTTCAAGATCATTAGGTACTCCATTCTTTCGTGCACCCAACTTTTCTTTGCCTTTTCAGGTGTCTGCATGTGCCTGAAAAATGTCATGCACGGAATGGAAATAGGGATATTACACTAACTACCCATTTTTTCAGGAGCGTCTTCTTAACTTGGAACCAAGTCTGCCATTCTATTCACCTGTGATCTTCTTTCCTTCTGTTTAGGTTTTTCCCTCAAGGCCTTTATCTCAACAACATTGAGTACAACTTGTAAGGGAAATTACTTGAGGAACTAGGGGAAACCCGATTTCCTTATCTGCATTCAATTTACTTACCACCAAATCTTTTTTTGTTCCAACTAGAAAGATGAAGCTGGAATCTGGCTCATTCTCCCTCAATGCATCTTCTAGCCACTGTCTGAAATACAAAAAAGAAATGAGAATCAGGCAGAGGGACTGAGGAATATAGGAGAAAGTGACAGATAACAGGGTCACAAGAAAAGTAAGAAGATGAATTTACGTGAGAGTATCAAAAACCTTATTTTCTAGACAGAAAGAGACCAGGAGCTATTCCAACTGCTTTGAATGCATGTCTTCCACTAATGAAAAGTTCAAACATGCCCACTGTAGAGTGCAAATTCAGCAATGATTTTAGCAACCAGAGAGAGTATTTATCAGTATAAGGGAGGGGGCAAAGTTTTGATTGAGATAAGGAATAAGAAAACAAGAAGCAGAGGAAAAGATATGAACAACATAGCAGATCAGATACAAATGGGAATAAAGAAGAGTGAAATAATCTATTCAGCATTATGAAACAGCTCCCTATGAAGGCTGCATGATTCTTGTCTCATAAGCTTGTATATTTTTGTTACTCCAGCAATCAAGTTCCTCCTGAGTCATCCAACACAAGTCAAGGATGGAAGGGAGTGTGTGCATGTGTGGGAAATCAGGTTCACAGGCTTCAATTATTTTCAGCCAAGCAGAGATGCTAATATATATATTATTTTACAAAGTCCTATGTAAATGAGCTAAGTACCACAGCAGCAGTCTAAGGAAATAGTCTAATACAGATTCAAATAAGACCAGGTGCAGGTTGTAAAGAAACATGTACCTGCGTTACAGTCACAACAGTATGTTAGAAATATATACACTCTGAGCTGGCGATAACAACGTGGATCATAGATCCATGTAGGGTTTTGCAGCCTGCACTAAAAGCAGAATAAGTTTACTCATAACAATTAGCATGCTGATGTAACCAAACCATTACAAGTATCTGAACCAGCAAGATTATCTATATCTACATATACTTTGAGTTTTTAATTCTCTCTCCTCTTTTTGACAGCCTATTTCCCAACAGAATCACTACAGAAACTAGAGAAAGAAAATAATTTCAGGCTAGCAGTGCACCTAGAAAATGAAAGGCTTTTGAGACATTACGCATGAGATGCATGTCATCAATTTTACCATTTACATCAGATGCCAGCCTGTTATTCTGTTTATAGCAAATGGAGAAAAAAGGATGCACTTCATGTCTTCCTGCATGTCTAGTTTTGGAAGGATCAAGCTCTTACTGAAGTGCCACCTTCTCTCCACTGACTATAAAGGAAGTCAAGAGTAAGTGTTCAAATTTATGCCCTGCATTTTCTTCATAAAAATCCCACCCTATGTAATCCAAACAAGTGACTGTCATTCTTCATTTCTTAGCTCAATAGAAAATACACTCACAATCCAGCGAGTTCTCAGCAACTACAGGCTATCCAAGACAATTAAACCTGCTGTAAAAGCTTTAAAGGCTAAGCCAAAATACAGAAACTTACTTGGTGTGATCCAAAGTCTGGATATCGGCCAGATCAAACACTGTTATTATAACTGCAATAAAAGACAAGAACAGAAAAAAAGTAATTAAGTTAGAAAGTGTATCAGAAGTCTCTCCAACTCATCTTGTTAAATGGAGAGTATGTTTACATATAGAGTACAAGAGCAGATTTAACACAGAGGAGATGGAAGACCATCCATTTGCTCATTCCTCTTCCTTCTCTAGCACCCAGTAAGAATTCCTCAGCCTTCAACTTATTTAGTCTTTAACTGTAGTCTGCAGTCTATAGTGCTATTACTCCTTTTATTCTGGGACCACTTTAATTCCTGCAGAAACTGCCTCTTACCAAAGGAAATGCCAGAAGTATCCACTTCTAACTTCAGCAATAATCTTACCCAAACCCAAATTCTTTTCCCCCTACACAAAAGTGCCAATTTTTATCACTGCATCATCAGAACATTCAGAGCTTGCAGGTGTGTCATGGTTTAGGCCCAGCCGGCAACTAAGCACCAGGTGGCTGCTTGCTCACTCCTCCCCCACCCCTGGTGGGATAGGGAAGAAAATTGGAAGAAAAATGTAAAAAGTCATGGGTTGAGATAAAGACAGTTTAATAGGACAACACAAAGACAGAAGCAATAATAGTAACAGTAATACTAATAAAAGAGTATATGAAGCAAGTGACGCACACCCAGTGCCCAGCCAGTTCCCAAGCCGCAATCACTCCTCCCCCTGGCCAGCTCGCTCAGTTTATATACTGAACATGATGTCATATGGTATCAAATATGTCCTTGGCTAGTTCAGGTCAGCTATCCTGGCTGTGTCCCCTCCCAGCTTCTTGTGAAAATTAACTCTACCCCAGCCGAAGCCAGGACAAGATGTGAGAATATATCAATTCATGATCTTTTTAGTCCCTACTTCTCTCCAATAATGGACAATCCGTTCTACCACACTGTGTTTACAGGTACCTTTCCAAGGAGCACGTATGCATATATGTTTCTGTATAAAGTATAACCTCCTGTCACAGCCAGAATCAAACTAATGTTGTTCTCACCCTCTGCTCCTCGGTAGTAAGCAGATGCAATGCACTTGAACTTTTCCTGACCTGCTGTGTCCCATCTGTGCAATGGGGGAAAAAAGAAATTCAGGTTAATGAAACCCAATGTAACCTGAGTAAGCATGCTAATGAAGCAGCAGACTGGTACAAGTTGGAGAAGAATGTGATACCAGAGAAGTGTTACCATCTGGAACATATTATTCATTAACTACTGATAGAAATACAGAAAAGCTGTATTATTTAATGAAGATATTTGAACTCTGGTTTTTGGTTTTTGGGGATTTTTTTTTTTTTTAAATACTGGTCATTTTGGAGACACAATTCAAATATTCATATTCTGCATGGTAATACACTTTTCTTAAATTATTTTTTCCTCACCTATGTCATTTGGATGTATATCTAGAGCAAGCTAATTTTGAAAACTTTCTGTGCTAATCCTAGCTAAATCATGTATTAGCCCATTAGCAACTGCTACATATAATAACTGTCCATACACTAAAAATTAGAGACCTACAGCTCAGTCCATCAGGTACTAATGACAGCATTAAAGAAAAATCAAGTGTTTCTTATTAATGAGCATGATATGCAGTAGTCTCAGCTACTGCTAGCACTACAGAGGTTTGAGGTTTTGTTATGGCCTAGTACTGCCAGTCACAGATACTTGCAAATTTATCTTGTATGGAAATCCCTTAGCAAGAGGGGGCACTAGTGCTTATCATATGGAAATGTTCTACCTAGCCACTGAAGATTCTGTGGATAATACAACCTGACATTTCGTAGCTCATGAACCTTATTGCTTCAGCTGGCAAAACACTGATAAATCAGTCTAGACTTTTAGAGGGACTCAAGTTCCAAAAGTATAGTGCCTGGCAGAATTTTCAAAAACACAATGGCACTGAAATCAGTGGGAAATGGATTTCTAAGTATTTTTCAATAAATCCCATTAGCCATCTATTTACATCAATGATATCAGAAAAAATGTGTTCCTAAGTGAAAGATTTTTTAAGATTCATGCACTAAAAATACATGCAAAGCATCTTGTTTCTGCTCTAGGTCACACTACAGCATAGATGATTCAATAACGCCCTCTACAGAACAATATTGCTAGCCACTAGAAATACCAAAGAACATCCTTCAGCAGAACCAAAGCAGGTGAGAGAAGGCCAGGATTCCCACTAGTCTGATAAACAAAGCTGAAAATCAAAGATTTTTAGGTTCAAACTCTAATAAAAACACTCCAGTCTTTCTACAATTTGGGGAGATTCAATTAGTGCCTAATTAAGAGATGCTGAAATCCCTGGACACATTACTATTAATTTCAATGGCTGCAGCCATAAAACTCCCAGTAAAGCCAGGTTCAGTGCTCATTGTGTCTACTAAACTCAAATGACAGAATGGTGTAACACTATAACTGTACAAAGTCTGTGGGAAAAGCTTCCACTTCTCTTTCAAGAAACTTGAGTAAAAAAGGCAGAAATGGTACAAGACCTCCAAGATGAATTGTCATTGACAAACTTACAACGTTTTTTTTAGGAATGACAAATTAAAGAGAGTAAAATTTTTACTAAAACTGCAAGTCCAGGCACAGAACCTGTTCTTCACATCACACTATTCTTTGTGCAACTTTATTATTTCTTAAAAATCTTTACTGCACTGGAGCCTGCAGCAATTCAAGCTCTGCTGAGAATGTACTCTGTGCAATACTTAACCATGCTGTTTCAACTTACATCTGGAGATTATATGGTATTCCAATTATTTCAAAACGTTCAATTTCAAAATCCACTCCAATGGTCGCCTTGTAGTCTCGGTCAAAATTATCTTTACAAAATCTGCAATAAGAAAAAAAAATAGAAACACCCAGCTACAAATAACTGCAAAACTAACACTATCTGGTGTAAATTATGAAGAAAAGAATTCACTAACTGTGGAGTGGCTATATATTGCAGAAGCATATATAAAACCACCAAGAAACTGATTTTAAAACAGGAGATACTGGATAACAAACTAGAAAGCATATACAACTAGTAAGCTCTCAGGATGAGATGAAAATCAGAACAAAATATCTTCAGACTGTCAAGGAAGATACAGTATCTTATAGTTTTAGTTACAAGGGAATATATTATATAAATAATATATTTATATTTTATATAGATATAATTATATATGTTTAAAAAATGAGCCAAATGATTAATTAATTAGATAAAAAACTTACCATATCTACTTAAGAACATGGAAGAAATAATAATAATAAAACACAAACATAGACAGAAAGTTGTCATGGTGATCATAAGCTACAGAAAGTCAGTGATCTGTTCACTGGACTTAGATACAAAAAGCATAAAAGCTGGTTTTAACATCCAGTAAAGAATCAAATAACTATTCTTTAAGGCGTTCTGCATTTTATCTGTCTTATTTTATAAGCTACAGAAAAACTTGAGCTTCCTCTACAGTCTTGCAGCTGTAGAAATGAGTACAGGTACCCACGCAAGGACGACTTAAAAATGTTTCAGTGAACAACCCTGCAAGTAAAGAGAAAACATGAAACCAAGACTAGACACTAGAAAGATTTTTTTTATTATTTTTTTTTTTTATTGTACCATCTGATTGTTCAGCCTTTAGGCTGGATTTCTTAAGGAAACACTGTATCATATTTGACTGGATAAAAATAGTTCAGAATATAACATATACTGATAGAAGTGCTGGAGCATGACTTTCTGTGTTGGTATATTAAGCCTGTTTCATATTGTAGACTGTTTTGTCTTTTATTTAATAACAAAACCATGGTGCAAAACAGAACCATGAATTACTACACTGAATGGACAGGAATGGAAACATTATAACGTTTATTTGAGAAATAGCAGAATCAAACCATCTGCTGAGATACACTGTACCTGTTGATAAGGCTGGTTTTCCCAACATACAGGTCTCCTACCACAACCACTTTGGATATTTTCAGCCTGTTATAAATATGTGAAAACATTACATGTTTTTAGCAGCAATTTCAACATTCTCTCTCTAAAAATTCTGATTTAGATCCTTAAATTGCAAGCGATCAGCACATGTACCTGTGACTCCAGTTTACCTAAATGCCACTGTGCTGCAGGATCAGAGTCTTAAATTGTAAGAAAGAACAAGGTCAAAAAACCCAAACCACTCTGGAGCAGAAATAGTCCATTTCTTACTCTGCATATTTTTTTTTTTCTTAAATATAATCCAGTGGGACATAAATTGTATTCTGTTAAAGTTGCTTTGACTACAAGTATATGCATTTGGCAGGTTGCACTAAGAACATAGAGTATCTGCATCCTTTTCATTAAAATTAACCACAAGTTTCTCATTGACTTTAATAGTACAAATCGAGTCCTAAGTGCAGAAACAAGAAATTGCTGATATATAAAATAACCCACTGCAGAATTTGTCTCTGGGAAAAAAAAGCCCACATGGTTAGAGCCAATACGTTTTCTGACTATGTGGAATAATATTAATCTGAAGCTGGCTTCATGCAAATAATCCTCTTTGCTCTGGGTCTTCCCACAGAATACAGCAGATGGGCTGTAGGTGACTCAGCCTGCATTCTTAACATTTAAATGTAGTGTATCTTTTAGGAGATACAGGTGGATAAATGAATGTAAGTGTATTTGTTGACCCAAACTTGGATTGACATCTCCTGTGTACATGCTACAAAAATGGCTTAAGAGGTTTAATGTTCTTTTATATCAAAGAATGGCTTTTTAAACAAAGGAATTAATCTTCTGTTGCATACTATTTCCAGTTATATCAGGCTTCCATGTGATGCTGATTCCAAGTTATCCAAACAGTCCAAATCTTGACTGGTAAGCTGCATGACTAATATTTCAAAAAAAAGAAGGCATTTTGTGTGCCAGTCAACACTAAATGAGTGGCCACAGGCCCCTAAGCTGCTGACATGTCTCTGCCTGATTAACTGTTACTGATAAAATAATGAATAAAATCAACAACCTTAAGGGAAAAGCAAAAGAGTAAGTGATGGTTTAGAGGTGTGTGTTCCATTAACTCATAATGGGGAAAAAAACTCCCTAGATTAGACAATTTAACACATTGATGGAATATCAAGAGAGTCTTAAATATAGCCATTAGCTATTGAATTTCTCAGACTACCTTTCCAAATGACAAAGAAATATTCCATTACTTGGGATAATGGAAAAGGAAGATAATGGTTATTCCTGTCCAGCTTTAAAATTACTGTACAAAACACACAGTTGTCTGTCCCTCCTGCCCCCTCCCCACCAAAAAATGACCTATTAATAATCATATTTAGAGAGCAGTGACAGGAAAGTGGTTTAATTATATTCACAAAGCCAAAATGTAAAGCTTTATAGCTATACTCTGTAACCAGAATAAATGAACTGGAGAGTTGGTTTACCCTGGAAATAAAAAAAACCAAATAGATCTTGGTTGTGGTGAGGGAAAAAAAATGCCTCAATTCACTAAAGCATGTTTTGCTAGTGAAATTGTCTGGACACTTGTAACAAATTTACATGAAACTAAGTGACTGTGCTTTTAAAAAGCAATAAACTCACTGATGCCCCTCAGAGAGACCTATTTTGGCTTCAATTTTTTTAGCAAGACTCTCTAGTGAAATGAATAAAAAGTTACATTTAAAGATGGGTATCATGACAAGTCTCATGGTAATCAACAACTCTAGATTTGAAATAGTGGGCTAATTGTCAGTATTCATAAAAGCTCCACTTTATGAAAGATCCTTCACACTGGAATGCAGAAGCATTTAATCACTAAAACATAAAGCTATTTATTTTAAATGAATAGTGATGATTTCTAACACAGTTTAGCTTTCTTGCCTTGCTTCAGGAATTAGATCAGTACTAGTAACAGTTCTGGGAGAGAGATGATGTGAAAAAGAAAACCAACTTAAAGATTATTACTAGGGCATAAAAAAGTTTATTTGGATTTTCAACGCTATATATTTACCAGAATTTTGCTCCAGTTTTAAGGAAACATTTAAGAGAATTTCTCAGCATGTATACGTCTAAAAGACTAAAGCTAGATTTTTACGTGTTTCAAGCAACTTAGAAATGCTGTATGTTTATATCCCCCACCAAAGCCTTTATTAACTGCTTATTTTGGAACACCAACAGAGAATACAGCAAGGCTAGATCTGCCCTATTCCTGCTCTAGAATTTGGTTGCCATACTGACTTGCATATGCAAAATTCAACACTAACTTTAAACAGTCAATTAGTCTTTTGAACAGAGTTTAGTTCAAAGTTGCTAAACAACTATTTGTGGCTAAACAACTCTGCTATTTTTTCAACGCTACTTATGGCAGCAGAAAAGATATCTTCGACAATTATGGGAAGAAGAGGCACTTTATTCATTTACTGTCAAATAGGTCAGAGAACTGCCACATGCACAGGCTTAGCTGCCTTGAAACATACTGGAGTGAGGAAGATGAGGAATGAGGGAGGAAAAGCCTATGAGGGAAGCAGGCTATAAAGAGCTTAAAATACTTTCTTCATTGCATACTTGGTTTATTACAAACTTACCCAACTGTTCCAGTGCTCTGCTGACAAGCAGCCCTGACCTGTGCATGGAAGTGCTCTTTGAACTGCAGACAGGCCTCAGGTGTGTACCACTGAAAAAAGCAGAGAACAGCTACTGGGATAAACCGTGATGTCTACTTTGCAAGAAGTCAAATCAGCAAGGAAAAAAATAGGTAAGGAGATTAATTCAAAGAGTTTGACAAGCACAGGGATACCCTGGCATAAGAAAAGGGATAGCTTGGGTTAGAAGGCAGTAAGGCTTCCCCACAGTTATGTTTGTAAAAACTCCTTTGGACAGTGCCATCATTTGACCACCTTTCTGAGTGTCAGCATCTGAGCACTAGCTAAACTTCCACAGTCAAATACGTTTGCTCATCATTCTATACAATAGCAAGTACCTTAAATTATCCCAGTAATCTAAGGCACACAAGACAAACACAGATGGGAGCATACCACCAGCAAGTCATTATTACTACAAAGTCTTTTAGATCTCTTATATGCTTAAAGCACCATTTTTATTACTAGTTTTTAATTAGGCATTAGTTAAAAATGAGACAAACTTATTTTATCTTGTATTTGCTTAAAATAACTGTGGTAGTTTTCATAAAATTAAAAGCAAAATATGTGGCCGAGATCAAGCATGGAAAAAAATGCTAACTCCCCTGAAAGGAACTTTTGAACAACTGAAAAAACTAGAATGTTAATTCCTTGTCCTTCCCTGTCCTTAATTCTTCTATTATACTTCAAGTACAAAACTCTTTGGGAACATCAATGCTCTTTTCTGTCTGTGTTTCTACAGTGCCTACTACATTTGATCTACTGTATGACTAAGGCTCCTATACAGACAGAAAATTAAAATTGCCCCAAATTCTTCAACCAAAACCTCCACATAGATCTAATTAGACTTTTTGCATATTTAATATCAGCTATGGTTCTTATTTCCCCTCGGTGTAGGAACTGTTTAAGCATGTAATTATTAATGTTTGGCTGAAATGATAAGATAACACTTTTGTGGCAAGAGTCACTTTCTGTAAAGGTTAAAAGAAATGAGGATTATTATTAAAGATATCAGCATTGAATGGGAATATGAAGTCACATTCGTCTTTGAAAGAAATCCTTAAACAATTTGTAATTTTAGCAGAAGACATCAACTGTACAGTAAATTAAAATACTATTAGCACAAGGGAAAGATAGCTCAATGGGACAGGCGCTATATACTGTGATTAGAGGGATAAAGAATGCTTACCTTGGGAAACCGGGAGATTATTCTGTCCCTACTCACCGGGGGAATCAAATGCATTAGGTTGGACTTCATCCTTCAAATTCAATTAAATTCTACCAGACAGGATATATAGAAAGAGAAACATAGTATTCAGGAATTGCCTCAATACAGGGAAAACATAATTAGAAAAAAATTAACAGTTCTTACAGACTCATTGTCTTTTTTTCCTTTCGGTACAACTGGCAATTCTTTCACCTTATTTGCATTAAAGAAAAACCTGTTTCTTATGTAAAAGGGACCACTTCAGTGCACATAGCTGTAGTAGCAAACAGTGGCTTTCTGAAACTACAAGACAACAACTCTAATTCCATGGGAGGGCAGAGAATTGTTCACTTAATTCAACATAAGTGCTTGCAGTTTAGTCCTCAAAGGATTTTGCAGAATTTAATTTAAAAATCTCGCTCATCATTGTTTGAAATGCCTCTGCACTAAGCGCATTAATAAATGTTAGGGGATACCAGATTTCATCTGGTCAGAAGAAGAAAGGAGGAAAGGTGAGGCTGCCACATTTCCTAGCACAACATCAAACTTTAATCCAAGATCAACTCAGAAAGAACGAAATCAGTAGATAGTTTGACTTGGAAAAAGAATAATGTTCACATGAAAATCACAAATGCATTTAGATAACCCACTAGAGACATATCAATTTGGTTATGCAATGAAACCTCGTGGGTTGTTGGGGGAGGGGACCCTTAATAGGGTACTGGCATTCAAAAGAATGTTTCTAATAAGAACATTCATCATGTAGCAAAGTGTAAGGAAGGACTCACCGTGCAGCAGCTGATGCAGCAAGATCCCAGCTACATAAACAGCTCAGTCTGCTGCTGCGTGGCCATAGCAACAGGCTTGCAACAGTTCCCTTCCTCCTCTTCTCTTACAGATTGGAAAGGCGGAGTTGGAGTAATTTAACTATACATAGGGCCCTAGTTTTTAAAGAACAAACTGGGTTTAGTGGCCATACAGATTCCTTTGATCAGAGACTGCTCCTTAATAAACCCAATGGTCCCCTAATCCTGTATAAGAAAATAGTTCCATTTTCTTCAAAGGTAGTTGTATATATGGATACAAAGAGCGGGATTAACCCAGCGGACAAGGAACTAATGGAATGGGGAACAGTTGCGGTGCTAATATTAAAGCATAGTAGCAAACATAAAGAAACTCCCAGGGGATTTTTTCAGAATTTCAACTTGATTTCATCTCAGCTTCAGAGTCAGGATGTGTATGCCACTAATGAGACATTCTGAATTATAGAAATGTCTTTCTAGTCATTAGTAATCTTGCTTTTTAATGTACCAAACACTAAAGACAAGGAATAAGAAATCACACGTCTCTTTTGTATTGCCTGAGTATTGTTAATCAACTCATTAGTTTAGACAGCATTTAGTATGCGAGACCATAATTTAGGATGCTAAAAGATTTTGCTATTTATTTCATTAGGATTTAAATTTCCAAATTTCATGACAAAAGAAAGCTCTCACATTCTAATAGTCATATTTTGATAATGCTGGAACAGACTTGGACCTCATAACATTCAGGAGACAAGCCTCTCCCATTCCTGCTGCAGACTAAAAATGTTAAAGGGCAAATCAATGTGGACAAGTAATTTTAAGCAACGAGTAAGTAAGTAACAAAAAAACTACACTTGTGTTTTACAAACCCACACTAAGAATAATGCTCAACAAAATTGCTAGTCCACTACTTAGAATTAATGCTTTATTCTCTTTTGTGATGAATTGCTTTTAAATCACTTCAGGCACTCATGTGATCTCAACCATACTGAAACACCCACTTCCCCTCAAAGAATCCAGATTTGCAGCTCACGTGTTATTCACCAAAGAAGGTGACTTTACAGTATTTATTTATTACCATATGCATACTTCTACTTATCATGCTACTTGTGAGCGTATAAAACTAGAGAGATCTAGACCCTTTTTATAGTGTGCTCCTGTCCTTTTGACAAGTTTGAATGATTTTACAGCAATGTTAATGTCTTAAAATAATAGTTCTGAAAACAAAAACTCTGCCAGTTGGTAAGAGTTTCAAACACTAACTTGCTTTCTCCCTATTCTCCTAGTTCTAGTTCAACACATCCTAAGCATGTAAAAATCTGTCATGTGTACATAGGCTGACTCACTGCTCGTCTCCTAGAGCTCTTTCACAAACTAACCTACAAAAAAAATCAGTTCAACAATCTCAGTGAATTCAAAGTACAGGAGGGACCAAGGCCACCAAAAAGAAACATTTGAAAATTGAGAGGCCATCTTCACTTACATTTAGTATATTTAATCTAAATCTCACACACACAAAAACATATCCCAATTTACCGAGTCAACAAATTGGACACACCATTACAGGAAAAAAAAATAATCAATTATTTAAGAAATACAAAGCTGCTAAAAATACTAAGAATGATCAGTACTGAGATCCAGATTTTCTCTTCTTACAGACCTGAAGCGGATTCAGACACCAGGGAAGGCTGGGAATATAGTGTCTCCATGGCATCACAGCCCTCCTTTTATCAACATTGCAGGAACAGTAGCACCAGCAGATTCTGTGGATAGACAAAGGATTTGAGGAAGGCATTCAGAAGCTGTACGTAAAATAAGTTAACATCATGACCACTAACCAAAATCAGTATTCCAAGCTACGGTGAAGGACAAGACAGAACAACTCACGCCAAAAGGACAAGAACAGAGTTAACACTGAAGGACAAGAGAAGTCCCTGAACTTCTCCTGCCCCTTCCACACTAAGAAAAGTTCACGTTCTTCCTCTTGAAATAGGGTGAAAATTTACAAATATGTAGTTAGTGGAAGTCTAATCTAATTCAGGAAAATAACCTCTACTTTAAATAGTCTGCTCTAAAATGTTGCAGAAAAATTAATCCTTTCTGGAAAATACTTTTTAAAGTAGTAATTTTTCTTTTATGGATTTTAAAGATCAACAAACCAGAAACTATTCCTGTGTTGTACTTTAATCCGGCTGATCTGAATGACTTTGGCTCTGTAAAATCCAGTTTACGAACTTTGATTATTATAATTGTTACTCAAACATAATGAAAAACATCAGCAACTTCTGTATTTGCACTGAGAGCTAACCTTTCATAGCACAAGCTGTTCAGAGTTTTTTTCCTGATGTCAGATCCCATCTGATAATCCAGAGCACCCTTAAGTTGTGCTGGCAACATTGCAATGATACATTCTCCATGACTACCATCCTCTGAGTCACACTATACTTTTTAGCAGAATCGTACTGAAAAAGATGGCCAAGTCTTGAATACAGTTACGTGAAACTACGTAATGATAATGGAACCCCCTGCTACACATTCTAGCTGTTTATAGTGACATTCTGGAGAAGACTAGGAAATAAAACCTAGTCTAAAACTACTGAGCTCCCTTCAAGCCTTGTACCTCAAGGCACTCACCTGCTATACCTCTGCCATTAACTCGACCACCATTTTGTTCGATATGATTTTTTTTTTCCAATTTTGTTCGACTGAAATTACTTTAAAAACAGGGGGTGAGAAGAGACCCTCCCTCCACGCTTCAGCAGAGAAACGAGCTAAAACGGCCTCCACACTGCAACGCCAAGGCGGCGTTTCCCCCATCTCCTCACACGCTCCCCTCCCTGAGGGGCTGCGCCTCAGCTCAGCCGCCCGCGGCGCCCCACCGCCGCGCGCCGACTCCCGCGCTAAGCAGCGGCCCCGGCTTCCAATTCGCCAACTACGCCGTTGACGTTACTCTCTCGCAGCAGCCACCGTCAAACGCGGTACTTACGCTGTTGACGCAGGGCCGGACTCAGGGTGCTTGGCTGCGTAGTTTTTATTCACGGAGCGGGGCGTAGGCCAAGAGCTGGTTGCTGTGGCAACTAGAGCACGCGGGCGCGAAAGACGGTGGCGCAGCTGGCAGGAGCTGTGGAGCGGGAACCGGGGACGGGCTGAGGCGGCGACATATTGGTGGGACAGGGCGCCTTTGATTATTTAGTCTGTTTCTTTTGTTTTGAAGAGAGAAGTGCAGTTGTTCAGCAGTTGTTTTAACTTTGGAGCTGGTGGGGTTTTTTTGTGAGCAGTTTTCAGTATTGGAGGTTGTATGTTTCTGTCAGCTGAGCCATTTTCCTTACTGAGGGAAGGGCGAAGTCAGCCATCACCGATTCTTTCAAATGTTAACGAATTCTGAGGGCGGGTTTAAACTAGACCCCTTTTAAAAGAATACGTCTTTGAAAAATGGCGTTTTGTTTGCTTTTGCTTTAGTATTATTTTGAGACCCTTTGGTTTGGGACATTGGACTACTTCACTTTAACCCTTTGAAAAACGTTCCCTCCCTCACCTTGCAATTTTAAGCTTTTTCTCTCTCTCTTTTTTTTACAGTGTTCAATAAAGAATTAAACCAGATAAGACAATTCAGCTGATGAACAGACATTAACGCTGATGACCGTGAACCATTCCAGCCTGCTCTTTCATAGCTTCCTAACAATGAATGTGTGCTAAAATAGCTCTTCTGGGACACAGAGCACGATTTAAAGTCAGTAGTTGTCTTTTTGGTACATCATCTGTCCAGTCACCAGGTAGAGTAATTTTGGAGTATTTTTAGGGATAGGGAGAATCCTTCCCAGGAAAATTTGGGATGGCACACGCTCGTATCTCAGCCAACCTTCCCCCTGATATAGATCCCACAAAAGCTCCCATTGCATTTGGAAAGAGGGCCCTTCCTAAACTGAATGAGGAGTTACGTTCTCCTGAGCTGCTGACTCAGCAGCGGGCACTGATGGCGCTCTGCGATCTGGTCCATGACCCAGAAAATGTCTACCAGGCAATAGGAGTAGGTAGGTGATCTGTTGTCATAGGCTTTGACACTGTGTGTGTGTGGGGGGGGGGGAAATCACTTTTGTGCTCTACTTTTTTTCCCTGCAATATCTTTGATGACACAAAATGACCATGAAAATTTTTCTATTTTAATCTCTACTTGTTTTACCTTAAAAAGGTAAAGAATATTATAATGCCATATACATGACAGTTATTTTAAGAGTATCCTCACTTCAGGATTTATCAATGGCTCACTGTAGG